AAATTGTACTTATGTGAAAAGACGTCTGTCATAGAAAAATAGGTGCGGTCATTGCGTCAGACATCGTCTCAACTTATAGGTCACTTCTTCATTCCATATCTAGGTAAAAAGCAAGCATTTAACAACCGCACGCATATCAAGGTAGGAGGCACATGCTTTTCAGCATTGAAAATGTAGGACCTCTTTCCAAAATTTTCGGCGCAGAGCCAACCTGAACTTCTTTTGCACTTGGACTCTTTCTCAGCTTTTTTTTCTCGTGAGTCCTCATGCCTCACCATTTAATGTCCTGAAAAAACATTTGGAAGCCGTTAAGATGGTAGCAGTTATGCGAAACTTTTTCGGAGGGCATATAGGAGGACCTTAAACCCTTCCACGAATGATGTCTTACATGTGAACAGTAGCTCTTTCAGCATTGTTTTCAGCATTTTTTACGATTACTTTGAAATCTGTGATTTTACACAATACTTTTCTGCACCATTTTTGTTGAATACTGCAGCAGTTCCTATCCTACTTTTCAGTAGCTTCCTTCAAGCCGTCAAGATTTTTAGTCATATTTTTAGTAATTCGATGCGAAGCAGTATTTGATCTTTCCTCTTTTGGTTGGCGTCATGTAATTCCCAAATTTTCTTCTCAAACTATGATATTCGTGATTTAGTCTACTTCTGGCAAGACTTTTACTGTATGTTTTTCAGTCCCGTTTCATACGGGATGACAAGGATCGACGAGAGAGGCTCTGATGATAATACTGCTATGGATACGGTAGTAGCCAAAAAAAGCAATGGTCGCGTAACAGTGAAGGAATTGAATCGCCTCATCTCAGACGTACAAGAATATCCATTGGAACCTGAAAGCAATTGGTTTGTTTCAGTGTGTTTTTAATAAAAAAAATAGTTCGTTTTCGCACATACGTGATATTACCGGCTTTCCGCAGGAATTGCTCAATGCTTCCAGGGGCCGTACCAATCCTTCTCCCACTATCCTAGGGAAAGGAAAGATCGCTCCAGTTTTCTGGTCTTTCCAGTGAGGAATTTTCTGAAAGGGGCCTAGTTGGAATGTGTGTATGCTTGGCCTGAGAAAGGATTGTATACGGCTCGAGGTCTCAACCTCTTGCGTTAAAACTGATGGTGTTTAGGACTTGTAGGCTTTTCCTCTTCAATTACGTTGTTTTTTTTTTACAAAAATGTAGTATTAAATTAAAGTGTGAAGGTCGGAAAATATTTAATAGCTGGACGAGCACACGTCTGTTTGGCTAAGGGACTTCGAGTTCTTGTTCGACTATTTTTGGTCTTTTCAATATTATTCGAGAGGCACGTTCTAGCCATGTTTAACAGCCAACACTTGCATTTTCCGTATGCTGGTTTTTGGTAACGGACAATGCTTGCTTTCAAAAACTGTAGGAGGACTTTCTCCGTACGGCCTATTCGTGTGGCTCCACTATCCCGAACATTACTTTTTGGACGAATCGTTTTTGACTCACCAGCACTTAATTTCAGCCTTTTTGTTATACGGGCGAGCGCTTCATCGTCTGCCGTTTTCACTTGGTTTGCAAATGTCAGTGTATTAAAGGTGCATGGGCTGTTCTATATGTCGTCTTGAGCTTTTGAAGCACAATTTTAAGTACCTTGTCTAAATTTCATATATGGTACTCTTATAGTCCCTCAGGAGAGTTTTTTCACTACGCGATGATTGCGTAGCAGTGAGCCTCTTTAGTCACGTGAAATCGAGGTGAAACTATGGCAAGAGGTGCTTTCTTGGGAAAAATGTTGAATTTACCATTCGTTATCAGTTCAAGCAGGAAGAGCAAATGATGGATGCTTATAAAGGCAAGTTCACGCCCATGGTGCAATGGGAGGTCACTTTTATATTTTGCACATGTGACTAGATTCATCTCTTCCTCCCTCTATCCTCGGAGACGCTGGGGAGGTAAGATAAATGAGGTTGTTTAGAAATGGAACTTAGAGATCCTAGATTCCGTGTTCTGAGTGCGGAGAGGGCAGTTCGAAGACCCTTCAGATGATATTATCTTCCTGCTATGAATTGTTTTTTTTTGGGTTGCATGTGTGGTTGTTTTAAAGGGAGCGAGGATTCACTCTGAATATTAACAAGTCAACTACATTTAATTTGGACCCAGATTGGGCTGAGTGGTCAACAGAAGTATTCGTAGAATGAACCGAGGAAATGGAGAAAGGCACAGACGCCGAGTTATTTGACAGAATATGAGACCTGGTTTCCTTGCGTTGGGATTCAGAGATTGATTTGGCGCCCATCGTAATTGTGCGTGCTAGTGGCCCTCTTTCAAACCTACTGCATCTCTCGGCCTATCTAGGCACCACGTATTGACTACGGCGACGATGATCAGATGGATCGGTGGGCGGAGATCGCCAGACCCGCCAACTTTGAGGCATAATAGGTCGCCGAGGTCAAATTTTTCGATGCGAATTGCGCATCAGTTCGCACCCTCAGGAGGTCCGTGGGTCCCTCAACTAGGTAAATTACTTCTTCCTCGACCTCCATTCTAATCGTGAATTCCTCCTTTAAGGCGTGAGGCGAGTACGGCGTCTATTTTGCGGTGATCGTCGCGGGTAACTATAGAGACTTAAGTCGAATTTTCTGCATACATCTATTGTTTAGAACTGTCGTAGGTGTTGCTCGAGTACAATGGTACGATATGAAACCAACCCTTAATGGGGAGCCCTTTATGCACACGTGGCTATGATGGTAGTTTTTGTATGGTCCTTCTTTGGCTTCAGCAGTGCTGATTACATCTATAATTTTGGTTATATGTATATGAGGGTGTGGCGGTTACTCTGTACATCTTGTAATTTCATTTAAAACTCAAATGAACCAAATTTCGGTGACGTTATTTAGGTATGTTGTGAGCAATGCTTGGTGGACTAAAGTGCTTGAAGCAGCCAGACAAGGCTTCGTCGACGATATTCCAGCTATTAATAACTCCACAATTTCATGTAAAAGTGAGTAGTTTTTCATATTCGAAGTGTACTTTGCGCAAAACAGATGCCCAGAACATGGGGCGGCAGGGCTGTCGCACGTCTAGCGATTTGCCAGCGATTGGTGTAAAGCCTTACACCTGTTTGGGAATATGGGTAGGGCGATTGCGTTGGGAGGAGCAAGCTCTTGTCGGTGGGTTCTCCGCGCCTAGCAAAGCACTCCTTAGCATTATTCATTTTTTTCGGAGCTATTTAACTAATCGAATTTTTTTGCAAATAAGGTGTGTACAAATAATGTTTGGGATGAGAGGAGCACCGAGAAGAAAGGTTTTGGACCGATTCGCAGAAATAGCTTTATTTTCAATATCAAAGAAATATTTCACTGTAGCTTTATCAGAACACTTTGGGTTGAGAGTCACGATGAGTGTAGGATGTGGTTCACTAGAACAAAAAGCGATTTTCTTGCGTTTCGTAGTGCGAAAAATTTTTCGCTGCGGAGATCCTCGGGTTCACTGATGATCATCGGTGGACCTGAGTTCCCGCAGCGAAAAATGTTTCGCGCTACGAAACGCGAAGTAATCGCTTTCTGTCTTAGCGAGCTACCCATGAGTGTATGGCCTTCAGTCCAGTTCTCACTACCCACACGTATTACTAAGACCTAAATTTTGCGGAATGGACCGTATGCGTGCTAGTTCAAGGCGTAGTTAGATTGAGAATAGTATAGGATGGACCGTGTATGATGTAGAACGGAACTGAACGCACATAGGTACATTACTATACATTCCCCGCTTCGTCCTGTGTCCAGTTCGCGCCTTTCCTTATAATATTGGTACATCCGAACGCAATGCCCCTAATTTGGAATCGGAGCTTACGAATGAGAGGTGCATTTTTGATAGGCTCCCAGAAACTACAAGAATTCGTCACTCGCTGCTCAACGATGGGGCAGAAAGCCATCATATTGCTCATGTTCTCAACTGAATGGAAAGTACCTTGTAATCAGTCTTGCTGCGGCCTCATATGTCTTCAGCTTCGAATTCTTACGTGGTTGCCTGAAAGTTGCGTCACTTTTCCTGAGTGCTTTCTTGCAAAAGTGAAAGTTCAGAGGAAGTGGCTCACCTCAGCGTAGAGTGAACTGATTGTTTGCATAGCCACAGAGACGCTCTTTGGTAGGATACATGACGAACTGTGCTCTGATTTTAATATATTTGTAGATGTTTGTTTGGTACAACGCTGGTGGGAGTTCACATTCTTTCAAACTTGTTTTCTTTGTTAAAGGAAGCTCTTTATACTATATTTACTCATTTCTTTTTGTTTGTTGTGAGATTACGGGTATTGTTTTTG